GTCAAGAAGTACAAATCACAGAAGCTCGATGTTTCTATGGCTTCCAGATTGCCATGGAAAACATACATTCTGAAATGTACAGTCTTCTTATTGACACCTACATTAAAGATTCTAAAGAGAGGTTTGTATTGCTTGATGCTAAAAAGTTTGAAACTCTTTCATTGTTGAGATTTAAGTGATATGTATCAGTCACTCTCTGACTTTAGGGCTAATTTTAGGATTTATATAAAATACCACTGCTGTTTAAGAGCAACTTCAGACTATTTTTATCCCCTGTAGTGTGTGAGCAAGAACCTGCTTAGATGAAGAGTGACAATGAAACCACTTAATGTGGAAATACGGGAATGAAACTATGTAAAAGATTGAGCAGTCGAGTGAGGGCAATGTGTTAAATTACAGTAAGAGCTCATATGGAGGACCCCTGCACCCCCTAGAAAGCTATGTAGGAAAGATTCTCTGAGAATTATACCACTTGTATTAAAATGTCATCTCTAAAACTCAGCACATTTAGTTAACAGCTCGCACTTTTACTTATCATGTGCTGCCCTTACTTGACTCTTTTGCTTGGGGGGGGAGCATGTTGTAGTTGCTAAAAAGTCGCTTTGTGGTATCTTAAAACTAAACGCAGTTTTACTTATCATGTGCTGCCCTTACTTGACTGTTTTGCTTGGGGGGGGAAAAAAGCATGTTGTAGTTGCTAAAAAGTGGCTTTGTGGTATCTTAAAGCTTAAACGCAAGGCTTTAAGCAGTCCAGACTTGGAGTTATTTTGGTGTTGTATTGTCAGGCCAACGTATTGTTGAAATAAATGTAATGTGCAATGCTATTTGCAGTCTATAGGTATTTAATTGCTGCTACTTCGTAGAAAGCTGACCATGTCATACTCAGAGATGCTTAATTCCAATAAGTGTTTAGGGAAGAATTCCTTTCATGAGAGCTTTGGTGCCTTGCCACTGGAAAGTGGAAGCTGGCTAGTTTTGAAAGCCTTGTTCAAGTACAGTACTTGATGAAACAGTACTCCCCTCGATATTGTCAAGGGAATTCATGTGAACTGGTGTTGACGTGATGGGAAGGTGATGAAAAGGTAGTTGGTGAGCACAAATAGAGCTAGATTGGTGCAAAATAAAATAGGAAAGGAGACTTAATTATTAGGGTGAAGGTGCAGAGCACTTGTAAGTGAACAAGACAATCTATGGCTATGAATATTGTACTAATTGTGCTGATGTCCAACTGTAATTAGTTTTATCCTTTGCAGGGAATTTCTTTTTAATGCCATTGAAACATTACCATGTGTTAAAAAGAAGGCTGACTGGGCCATGCGCTGGATTGGGGACAAGAAAGCAACATATGGTGAGTGCATCTGGAAACAGTGAAATTTCTTCTGTAGAAAAGATGGAGGAACCACCATTTCTCCAGACTTCACAGTTCACAGGGATTATTGTTCTTGCAGACAGAGTGTGTGTTCTCTGGTATAAGATACTCGTATAGCTCTGGAGACAAAGAAAATAGTTTTCATCTTGCAAATGAGCTCCTGATGCGAATCTCTGTAAAACTGCTGGCGTTTTGAGTAAGGGTAGCTCATGTGGCAATATTCATTTGCCTGACTGTATGTAAATTGCTGTTATGTATCCAGAACTGTACTGGCCATCTTATCTCCAGCAGACATGTACAGTTGGAGGCTGTAGCTCCTCTGCCTTACTCATTCTTGATGTCTCACTTCAAAGGTGAGATGAGATGATACAGGTCATTATATTTCACTAGTATTAAAGTGCTCTTCATGGCCAAAGTTTCTTACTTAATCAAAGATGAGCAGACACTGACTGCTAAAATGACTGTTCTTTTTCAGTGTGCATTCTTTGAACAAGCTTGCTATTGATGGTTAACCTGGGGGAAGGAGCCTTGGCTTAGGCTACTTACTAGCTACTCTGATTAGTTTTTACTTCTCATGTTTAAAAGTATTGCTTAATGGCTAGAAGCCTTTACTGTAATAGTTTTTAAGATAGGGTATAGCACACTTAGAAACTTCATTTTCCTTGGAGGATGCAAGGTCTATTTGCACCTTCTGGTATTAATCCTCTGAAGTTTTCTGTGTGGTGTTACTATCAATCTTTTCTTCACAGGAGAACGTGTAGTAGCTTTTGCGGCAGTGGAAGGAATCTTCTTTTCTGGCTCATTTGCATCAATATTTTGGCTGAAGAAAAGAGGCTTAATGCCTGGGCTCACTTTTTCTAACGAACTCATCAGTAGAGATGAGGTATGAATCAAACCCTAGTAGTTAAGATGGTAATGTGCCACAATAGCTCAAAGTAATGATGTTCAGTAGGAGCCTGTATTTTAAAACAGGAGTATGTTTAGAAACAGGCAGTCTGTAATGCTCACTAAAGCGTGTAAACACGTGTCATTGTGGATCTTACAGCAGAGAATGAATGAACTTGGCATTTTACTACCTCTAAAGCAGTTTGAGAGTTCTCACCAACTCTTGCACTCACTGCACCTTACCATTTGGAGCAAGTGTAGCTGGTACTGGCTGAACTTGCTTATGCCTCCTGGTTAGGCAGAAGGTTGTCCATGGACAACACTAAATAACATGGCAAGTGCAAAGACGGTGCCTAGATATTGGCTATTCTGTGCTGCTGATTTGAGTGGCTCTTTTAAATCAGTGTTCCTGGAAAAATTTTTTGAAACTTCTTTCCAGGGCTTGCACTGTGATTTTGCCTGCCTCATGTTCAAGCACTTGATACACAAGCCATCAGAGGAGAGAGTAAAGGAAATCATCATGAATGCTGTTCTCATCGAACAGGTAATTGTCTGCTCCTTGTTTAGAAATTTGATCCAAATTAAGCAGAAAGCTGGGGAGCTGTTGGTTATAAAATTAACCTGGATGGTACAGAGTGAATACCAGTTTCTGTACATAAAGTGCTTCTGTTATCTGCAGGAATTCTTGACGGAGGCACTGCCTGTAAAACTGATTGGCATGAACTGCACTTTAATGAAACAGTACATAGAGTTTGTAGCAGATCGGCTTATGTTGGAACTGGGATTTAACAAGGTAAGGCTCTAATACACTGAATCTTTCACAGGGAAAAGATAATATTAAATTTAATTTACTCCAGAAACCCAAAACCTAAAATGACTGCAGCAATATTTGTGTAACTTGTAAAACCATTTAGCAGTCCTGCTGCTAGGTACTGTTTGGAGACCTGCAGAAGGAAAAGCAAAAGGATGCTGTGGAAAAACAGCTATACAGGAGTTGCTGTGCTTCTGTCTGCTGCAGCTGAAAGACGGGAACAAATAGAGTAGAGAAGACTCGGGGGAGATATTTTTGTTCACTGCATAGTAAGCCTGCTGATATTGTCACTAGGCTCCTTCCAGCTGATCTCTAATGCTCTCACGTATTCAAGATGTGAGCCCCTGTAGTGACTATAGAATTACCTTTGCATTTCAGATATACAAAGCAGAGAATCCTTTTGACTTCATGGAAAACATCTCTCTGGAAGGCAAGACCAATTTCTTTGAGAAGCGAGTAGGTGAATATCAGAGGATGGGAGTCATGTCGAAGCCCACAGACAACTCTTTCACCCTGGATGCAGAATTTTAAATGAACTGAGACCATATGAGTTAGTGTGTATGCTCCCCTGTTTACAGGGAAACATTAAATATATTGAGTCACAGTGTGACTTGATTCCTGTACTAAAATCCCACTCTTAAAGTGTGGTGATAGTGGTACTTTTCAGGAGGCTAGTGTAGCTCCAGCAGTAAAATCCCTTTTTATTAGACTTTGCCAATGGTGTTAATTCATAGAATGTTTAGTTGTTGCTCTTGGAACATATGCTACTCCATTTTGTGAAAGAAACGGGCACCTTCCTTCTGCAAGACAGGAGGTTATGGGCAGTGACCACTAGCTTCTGCTATTCCCCCCATAAGCAAAGGAGCAGTTGAGAAATTCTAGCCTTAATTTCACTGAATACTCTGCAGAAAACTCTGGAGGCAACTACAGGACCTCACTGCTTTCTTAGCAGGTTTTAAGTTTACCTTTTTTACTATTGTTTTAATAGTTTGTACATAAACCTGGCACTTTAATGTTTTAAATAAAGAACTGTCTTGTAATACTCAACAAAAAAATGATAAAATGCAAGTCTAAGTCTTCAGACTTCTGCAACCTAGCCTCTCATGACTTGGTGTTCCTTTTGGACATGGAACTTAAAAATGGTGCTGTGAATCAAACTATATTGATATCTTATTGAAGAACAGGAAGAAACTTGGTATGGAAGGTGAAGAACTTAATAAATTTGATAGTCTGGGTATTGAAAAATAACATGCAGCTGTCTTACAGATTTAATTGCTTTTTCTTTAATATCTGGGAACAGTATTTCATATAGTAGTAATAAAGAACTGTTTGGATTCAATGTTGTACTGGCTTCAGTGCTCCAATGGGCAAAGCTGTGTGTTAATTTCCTTCTGAATTGCAGACTTTTTGAGGAAATGCAAGTTCTGCTGGAAATAGCTGCTTAGTTATGTGGTTGGTAGATGACAGGTGAAATTGTTATGCTCAGCTCTGACTTTCAGATCAACTGCACTAAATGGATGGTGTTCCAGGGTAAATCAAGCTAATTCAGGCTGGAGCAATATTCTTAGTTCTGCATCATCCAGTTTTGCTTTTAGTACATAACGGTGAAAACAAAGTATGTGTTACAACAGTGTTACTCCACACTAAACATGGAGCAATGGGAATGAATGCTTAATATAACTTTGGTAAGGGCATGTGGTCTGTGAAGGAGTTCCCTGTGGTCTCAGATTAGAGTTCCTGCAAATGATCTACAGTGAAATTAAATAACAATGGGCTAGATGAAATTAGCTACTGCCTTGATACACAAAAAGGAGTTTATTACATGATCTAATCTAACATCTAACTAGCAAGGGCTGTCCTGCAAGTCTGCCTTTCTTCCTCAAGTGTAGCTGGTACGGAAAAAAAAACCCAACAACTTTACAGAGTGTAAAACATTTCCTTGAAAGGAAAGAATGCTGAAATTTGCTTCTTTCTGCTAAAGTGCTCCCTGTTTTGAACTGTAATACATATGGTGGTACTTCTTTGAGAGATGGTGCCTTGGTATAAAATTAACCAAGTTGCTGGTCTCTGCTCCTTTGCTCTTGATTGCACTGAAGGTGATGGTGTTTGACTGTTCTTCCCCCGAGTCTGTGAAGCAAGCAGGATGTGCATGTTTCCAAGGCTATCCTAGGGAGAAAAAAAATCCCATAAATAATTAAAAAATCCCAAGCCCCAGAGGTTGGAATTAAAAATGGAAGATACAAGACTGTTAACAGATGGCAGCACTGATGTTGGTAACAGGTCAGTTGTTGCAGTGGTCTGAGACGAATGTATAAGGAACTGGAATGGGCCATATTAAGTTGGATAGCCAGGCACATCATTTTGAAGTACTTGTTTTTAAAGTTAGGCAGGTTTCTGGCTAAATATCAGCATTTTCTTGTGCTTTTTCTTGGCTTTTTTTAGTAAGCAAAGCTTTGATCAAATTAAATCTGATACGAAGCATCAGAATTCAGGGTGTAGGACTGTTCTTTGGAGTATGAATGAGACAGTAATAATGTACTGAGATCAGTTTAGATCAGTTTGGACCTTAGTATGACTCAGCGGTGTTCAATTCATATTCAAATCTGTTAATTTATACACTTTAGTAATGTAGGAAAAGGGTAAGGCTTATATATGGGCAGGGTCTAGCTATATTAAAGCTGTCTCTTCCCACTTGGTTTTTAGTATGTGCTATGGATAAATATGTGGAAGTGATGAGGGTGGAAGGTTTTAATTTGTTATCCTTCATTCTGGGAGATATGAACTGGAACTGTATTTTCAACATAATATAAAAGGGTTGCTTGTAGTGCATGTGATGGCCAAGTCACCACTTGTAATGGCAGGTAGGAAGAATGTCCCTTTTAGCCAAGCATTGCTCTTGTAGGGTAATGGATACTGTAGATGTGGATGCATTAGAGATAGATTAGGCAGGAATTAGAAGTGATTCAACAAGGGAATGAGACTTGCTGTGGCTGGTATTAATCTTATCCTGGTGCCACTGATGCCTAAATGCCTACTTAGTTTGGTTTATGCACTTGCTGTAATGAAAATTGTTTTTTAATGGTATAGGCTCGAGAAAAGCTACACATCTGGTCCCACCTACTTTAATTCATGGTTTTCACAAAGATTTAAATGTCTTGCTGTTTCATAGTTTGCATAAATCATACCCAAGCCTTGATAAAATACTTATTTACTGAAAACAGATTACTTTCCAATTCAACTGAGATGCCAGTTGTTTTGACACTTGATCCTCTTAAGCATTGAGGAGATTAAATCTCTTATTCCCCAAAAAATTAAATGAAACTCAGAAAAATAAGTTTCAGTAAAAACTTAACTGACCCTTCAGAATATGTTTTGGAATGGAGTTTGAAGAACCAGGAGATCTGAAGCAAAGTGATGAAAGTGCTGATTTTTTTTCTTAATCCATGTATGAATCAGAACAGCTGTCTAGTAGGGGTTCTGGCACAGTAATTGCCACAAGTGAAAAGTGATTAGGCTAGTAGAGGAAAAAAATACTGAGGGATAAGTAAAACTAGATATATTTGTTGGTGCAATACTCTGTTAACTTATGCAGAACTGATCCCTAGCTATCCTGTGTCTATTGCTGTTAAAATTAACTGCTTTTAATACCAGATAAAATGGAAGAACACTAACCTCAAGCATAGTTTCTCTTGTTATATTTATTTCCTACTGTAATTTGTTGGAAAAAAATTGCATGAGTTCAGGAAGGAAAGCTTCCATAACTCTTTAATTGACACATTTTCATTTCAAGTTACATGTCAGACATTGAAGACCTTAGGCAATGTAGGGGAGTAAGAGCAACAACTTAATGTCAGCCTTGTCCTCAGGAAGCAACTGCAACATGAGAGTGTAATGACAAAAAGAAAATCCCCAGATTTCTCAAATTTCCTGGAGTGATTACAGCAATTTGTGCCCAGAAGAGGTCAGAGAACAGTTGCTGCTGCTCATGCCTGCAGCAGGGCACAGCCAGCCTGCAAATCTGAAGGCACATTAAGAGTCTGGTGGGATCCCTGAAGGATAACTGCTTCCTCCGCACCGGTCCGTAGTCAGAAGCTTTGCCTGGCACAAAGCAGTTAGTGAATGGAGTTGCGCTCATTCAAACCCCACTTTTCACAGTTGGCCATGGCTCCTTTTATTTTCAGCTGTTGATTACTTCTTGGTGCTTTGGCCTCTCTTTTTGTACCTAATGAATTATGAGAAATAAATGCTTTCACCAGGAAGGATTTGACAGTTAGAGAGCTAAGTCTCGTGTCCTGTTTGCTGATGGACAGCTGGATTTTTGTTAGGAATTCATCTGGGTGCGTTACTGAGATCCTATGATCTGCACAGCACAGACAGTCAGTTGCTTTCTGTGACAAAACAGTCTTTACATGAAGAATGGCTGAAAAATAATTAAGATAATGGTGGGGAGAAAGTCTGATACGTGTCAGATAATGTTTTTGCTTTAAAGGTTATGCCCAGCTACTCTTTCAAGTAATGATAATATTGCTACTTCCTGAGCCTGCAGATAAGTGGGGGGAAGACTTTCCCTTTAGAGTGTCTCGTGGACTTCAATGATGAGATCTTGCTGACATTGTTGATCAGGAGAAAAATGGTGGTGGTTGGGCATCTCCTCTTAGAGATAGCTGTGGGACACTGGGTGGGGTGAAGAAGGAATACCAGTTTTCATTCCCACATCTGGGTGCTCTGCTGGGCATTAGCTGAGAAACCTGTTGCCATCATGATCCAGAGGTAAGGCCAAGCGACCAGCAAATCCCAGGGCATTGACTGCCTACCAGAGCTGTGACTTTGTCTCCTGGCTTTAGGTTTCTGCCATACCACGTGGTGCTTTTGAATCTGTTGGAGAAAAGATTTTGAAGGTGAGTGCTTCATGCTCCAGAGGAATGGGCTGTGTTAAAGCTCTCCCTGCTGCGGATGCTTATCCTCTTTCTGCAAGTACAAATTCCGAGATACATCAAGGGTGAAGGAATTTAAAATGAATGCCTTTTCTTCCTCCTGCTGTTAGACATTTTTTTTTTTTAAACTTCAAATATATAGAGAAAAATACCTTGGTGGAATGGCTTTGCAATGCTTTCCAGTAACCAAATCCCTCTTCTGCTTTTTCCCTGGTTATAACACACTGTGTAGTTTGTGCCACAGGCAATGTTGCTTTGTTCATCAGGTGAAGATTACAGTGAATTCCTAGGAGATGCTGAAGCCATACAGCACTTGGGAGCACTTGCCTGATGCTGAACGCATGTGTGTTGAGGTTTTTATTTTGGCCTAAGGATGAAGACTGGTGTTGGATACACACTGGTGCTTCTGAGATGTAGACTGAAGAAAAAAGCATTCCAGGCCAGTTTCTGCTACCAGTTACCAGTAAGTAATTTGTGTTTTCCAAGTATTGTAGGATTTAACTTAAAGTAGAGGGGAGTTTGCAATTCTTAGCTGTCTGAATCTTGGAAGTGCTCAACTTCCAAAAAAGGTGAGCTGTGTGTTTCTGTTCTCATTGGGTTTAGGGGGTGCTGCTGCTCCTGTTACGGCCTCGCATATTGTGAAGTGCTGCTGATATAATCCAGGATGATTTGGGCAGTCTTTGTTCCCTCTTGAATCAGGCCTAGAAGTGTGGTAGAGTTTCTTTTTTGCTAGATTCTCATTTTAACAAGGATCCTAGCCAGTGGATCGTCAGGTAACTGAGCCAGTTCGTGGCATCCAACGAGTTGTGAGGTAACTAAGCCAGTCTGCTAAATGAGTCGTGTAAAGACTGAGGTGTTTGGCCCCAGAGGAAGG